GTGTTGTATTGTATTATGTTGTATTGTATTGTGTTGTATTGTATTGTGTTGTATTGTATTGTATTGTATTGTGTTGTATTGTATTGTATGTATTAAATTTTTCTGAAATATTGGTAAGAAAAAAAAAATGTATAAAAATTTTAAACAAAAGGTTTCATAGAGTAAGTTTTTTCGTTCCAAAACACAACCCTTGGTTACCCCTTAGAGAGTTTAGTATATATATATATATATATATATATATATATATATATAAGTTTACACATACTTTCTTGGCAGTCATTACCCCCAAAATTAGAAGGACACTGACACTGAAAATCTCTACACGTACCAGGGTAGCAAGACATTTTGTCACTGCACGCAACTAAAAAATGGAAAAACATTTTATTATTATTTTATTTATTATTTATTAACTATTTTAAAGGATATAATTGTATAACTGTGGAATCGTATTTCTGTGGAGTTATGAATTGTGAATGAAACAAGATGAAAAACAAGATGAAAAACATTTTATTATTATTTATTTATTATTTATTAACTATTTTAAAGGATATAATTGTATAACTTTGGAATTGTATTTCTGTGAAGTTATTAATTGTGAATGGAACAAGATGAATTCCTTTGAAGATAAAAAACAGATTGTTATTATTATTATTTAGTGACAAAATTAAAACTGATTCAAAAATTTCTATATTCCCTGAAAATGTTTCAGTCAACTTTTTTTTAATAGAAAAATAGATTAGATAAAATAGAAATAGTTGCTGACCAGTCTTGCAAACGCCCCCTGGTAACAAGCACCTACAGTTGCCATCGTCAGTGCAACTCTCGCCCGGCTTGCACTTATCTCCACAGTCACCTACGTAGTATTCATAATTTGTTTGAAAATGTCATTTTTTTAATAATTAATAAATTAATTTTATAAAAAAAAGCTAAAACTAAAACTAAATATCCTCGATTCCAATTTTTAAATCTAAAAAATTACCATTATCACGATTGAACCCGTTTAAGGAAAAAAAATACCATCAAGACAATCAATACAGAATTTGATACGTGATTTAACTTTTTTTATTTGTTTTTTGATTTATTTATTTTGTATTTATTTATTGTTATTTATGATTTAACAGTTCATTAAGCCTAAAATCATCTCAAAAAATTTTGGCCTTAATAAAATTTCAAATGGAAAAAAATGTCATCCTAAAGTTTGCTACTAACGGACGGAACATCTCCAGCCTTTCCAACCCGGCGCGCACACTTCTCGGTACCTCGTAACTGTCTCGTACACAACTGTGCACTCCTGACGACTTCCAGATTGTAAAAATTAAATATATTAAAGTTTTAATCATCAAATTCGTCTGAATATATCAAATAAAAGTTAATGAAACTGGGCTGCGGGGTGATGTAATGGTTTAGGTGTCTTCTACTGCTAATGCAGTGGCCCTGCTTGTCTGTGTTTTTAATTATTCCTAGAACTACTGAAGGTAAAATTGTAAAAATGATATAATTAAACATCTGTAGATCTAACCGACCTATCATACTTGCACAAGATGAAACACCATTTTAGGTATTTTACGTACTTACACGATGTTCGTGTCACCACAGCGAAGTAACTTTCATGCACGGTATGCCCTTCCCTTAAGTAAGATCAAATGAAAATCTTTTTTTTATTTAATTAACGCAGTCTGTAAGAAAAGAAATTTTAGCAAGTAAAGTTATCATTCAGAGTAACATTTTATAACATCTCATAAATTGAAACTTTAAAACTGAGTACGTGAAGTAGCACAGTCAAAAGTTTATTGCAGTGGGAACATGGAGATCTTTAAAACGTTGAAACATCGTCCTTTCGGCCCATCAAACATTGATTCGGAGTCGGATTTGATGGGACTAACTCATGGAGGGACCTTCGTAAAAATGAACCCTCTCCACAAAACAAAATAATTACAACTTTAATCAAAATACTGGCTTCCGACACTACAAATTAAACAACAAATTGCAGATCTTCATGGATAATTAGAAATAAATAAATAAATAAATAAAATTATAAATATCCACCACGAAAAATCACAAGGGCCAAAAACCACAACGGATTATTATAGACATCCACTAAAAAATTATAAGTTCTACACCCATGTTACTCTTGTTCAGGTACTTTTAGACTTTTAACTGTAGACTATAACACATCTTCATATTTTAAAATTTCAAAAGTATATCTGAACTTAAGTGCACTGCCAACATAAAAGTTGGAATAGCGAGAAGATGGCTGATGAATGATCGAGACAAAAAGCGTACGAAAAAAAGTTACTAACTCCGTAGAGGCGAGGTCAATGATGAGAAAACTTAGCAGTAGCGGAATTAGCTTCATGGCTGGCATTGATGATTCTAAAGTTTGAAAAAAAAATATCTTTTTAAAATCAATTCGAAGTTTAAATCGATTAAATTAATGATTAATATGTGAATTGCTAAATAAATAATGAGAAAATAGACATTAAAATCAACCAATTTGTTTATTAAATTAATACAATTGTACAGAATTTAAATAAATAAATGTAAAAATATACTTTGTTGTAAGTTAGGCATATTAGCTCATCATCTTATAGTAAATGCGTTACTCTAACCGCAGAATACAACACACTCACAAACACACACACACACCACACATAGGAAGAAAGGTAGAAAGAAAGAGAGAGAAAGTTTAAGAAAGGAAACAAAATAAAGAGTGAGACAGAAAGAGAGAGAGAGACAGAGATAGAAAGAGAGAGAGGGAGAGAAACAGAGGTTTTAAAAACTAAAAAACTTCCGAAATTTCAAAACAATTAGGCGTAAAATTTGAATATGGCTTATTCAAGTGGATAAAAATTAGTGAAAAATAAATTGCTCCATATTAGATCTTAAAAACAATCTAATTATAATGTAAATAACGTCTACTGTGCGGCTGCTGATGTTGCTGATGATGCTGCTGCTGATGATGATGATGATGGTGGTGGTGATGGTGGTGGTGATGATAATAATAATGATGACGATAAAAAATTGTTATAATGATGAAATATTTATTTATTTATTTATTCGTTCATTCATTCATTCATCCATCCATTCATTCATTCATTCCACCATTCATTCATCCATTCATTGGTCCATTCATTCACTCATTCAATGGATGATGATGGTGATGATGGAAAGAGATAATTACAATGATTTCGATAATGATGGCGCTGTAGAATAATTTTACGCCTATTAATTATGTAGTACAAAGTAATTTTGTCTTTGACATTTTACATTTTCAAAAAGACGAATTTGATTTACTGAGAGTAATTTTTGTCGGTTGTGTGTGTGTTTATGGTGTGTGTGTGCGTGTGCGTGTGTGTGTGTGTGTGTGTGTGTAAGATTAAAACTCCAAGAAATGATGTCAAATACAGAGATTGATTTGTAACATTACAGAGATTGATTTGTAACATTTGACGCGCAAGTAAGATTGTTATTTGTTACTTAACATGATTATGCCCATTAAGTTTTAATAATTTTCAGTTTTTGGTTTGTTTGATTGGTTTCGAGAAGGATTCC